ACACACACACACACACACACACACACACACACACACACACACACTAACCAGATGTGAAATATTACTGAAACTCTGCTTCAAATGTTCCACATTTCCAGTTACTACTCGGTGAACAAGCATAGACACATCAGCGTACACGCTACATGCAAAAAATGCTCCCACGCAGAAATAAACCTTCAAGAGTTCAGGGGAAACGACTGCTATGACACCACGGTTTGTGGTTTAGGCCACTTGGATGTTACATGCAGATGTTGCAATAAGTATATCACTCATTGAATTTTTTCTTTTTTTTTTATTACTTTATTACTTATTATTTTTTATTACTACTCTGGTAGTTGCTTAATTTGCTGGAATCTGCTGACACCTTTTGGCCGACCTCTTCGTTGGTTCAAAAAGAGAAGATCACTGAGCTCATCTGGTCAAAGAAGCCCTTTAGTATAAGACACAGAGGATTAGTGGAATTTTGCCACTCTCAACGTCTTTCTTTCCTCTAGGCTAGGCATCGTCAGCTGTCCGACCAATGTTGAGCCTCTTTTTGAAGAAGAATAGGGATTGAAATTCCTCTTCTCTTTGTGTCTCCTCCTGTGTTGTTTTAGGGTATAGTGGTCTTGTCTTTGTTAATTCCACAGTGATTAGTCTCAAGTGGTCCAGCCTGTGTCTGGCCTCACCCACGGTAGTGTTGACAGTACGTTTTTCATTTTGGGTTTTCCTGTGTAAAAGGAACAACCAAAAATAAAAACGGCTCCACATTCCTTCAACCAACTATGCCATGCCCTGCTGTGCGCTGTGGTAGGAGTAAACCTTAGAAGAAACCTAATGTGCTGGCCTTGCTCTAAATGAGAAGCATGTGTGGTATGACTCGAAATTACATTTCACTCCAAATCTAATCAGTTTTCAGTTTCTTGCTCTCTGGATTGCTCAACCAGTACTGGTTCTGTTTTAGATGTGGCAGGCACTGACCTCATTTGTTTGCGTGTATATGGACCACCGTAGTTTTATTATGACAGCGGCAGGAGTTCCAGTGTGTCACCTTTTAATAGGTTCCTGCGCAGAAGTGTGCTGTGTTTAATAAAACTCTGGTCTCATTAGCTGAAACGGTGGCGGCTCTCGGTGTCGATGTGAAAAAGACGGGAGAGGAATGGAGCAGAATGCTGCATTGGGGATTTGGCAGGAGCCCTCTCCCCTTGTTGAGTTTCACTTTGTCTGTCCCGACGGGCAGGACTGTCTCCACCCTGCGTGTCTGGGTTCATCTGCAGTGAAGGATCTGATTTCAGGGCCGTCTGGCTGCTTCTGCTGAACACTAAGGATCTGTGTCTGCACGTCATAATATGCCCACAATTTAAAGGGACACTCATTACATTTTGTATCGAAACAGTGGTGTATGCTTGCCCCCTGCTGGGCACAATGAAGAAGTGAACTAGAGGACTCTGTAACCTCGTGGTGATAAACTTCTTTTCTTTTTCTCACTCTCTCAGCTTTACGTTGCAACTGCACAAACTGTGAGAAGACGGGCTATGAGTGCGAGACAGACGGTGCCTGCATGGCTTCAACTTATTATGTCAATGGGAAGGAGGAACACGTACGTGTCTGCATCAACCAGGACAGCCTGGTCCCCCCTGGGCAACCGTTCTACTGTTTGAGTGCTGAAGGTTTCTTCAATACTCACTGCTGCTATGTAGATTACTGCAACAGTATTGACCTGAAAGTCCCAGGTGAGACCTCATTAAATACTTTAGAGCTGTTTCAGTTCAATTGTGACTGTTTATTTATTTATTTATTTATTTTTTTAACCCATTTCTTTTGTTTTGTTTTGTCTTCTTAGTCCCAACCAAAGGGGGGGAATGGTCAACCCAAGTGAGCAACTGGGGGCCAGTGGAGCTGGTGGCAGTGATTGCAGGGCCCGTGTTCCTGCTCTGTGTGTTGCTGATGGTCGGGGTGTTCCTGTTCCAGTATCACCAGAGGGCCTACAGCCACAGACAACGGCTGGAGGTAGAAGATCCCTCCTGTGACCATCTATACTTGGCCAAGGACAAGACGCTCCAGGACCTAATCTATGACATGTCCACCTCTGGATCAGGCTCTGGTCAGTATGCAAGAGCAGGAGCTTCCATACATCCTTAGATATATCAGTATGCCCAAATGAGTAACATTCACCATAACGGTGTGAGGATACTTATCAGGGAACTCTTGTTGATTTGTTGCCTGTCTGTTGCCCCCTCTGCAGGTTTGCCCCTGTTTGTGCAGCGGACTGTGGCCAGGACTATTGTGCTGCAGGAAATAATAGGAAAAGGTCGCTTTGGGGAGGTGTGGCGCGGGAAGTGGAGGGGAGGCGACGTAGCAGTGAAAATCTTCTCATCCAGAGAAGAGCGCTCCTGGTTCAGAGAGGCTGAAATCTACCAGACAATCATGTTACGGCATGAAAATATCCTAGGATTTATTGCAGCAGACAACAAAGGTGAGGAAAACTTTTGGCTATGTGAAGATGCAATACAAGAAGACTGCTTTAAACAACCCTCAACAGTAAAAGTTTTGGCCTTTTCAAAATAAAATGTTTTACAAGCTCGCTGCTGTTTAAGTAGAGTAGATTATTTGATCGACGTTATTCATTTGTTCCCTTTCAGACAACGGCACTTGGACTCAACTCTGGCTGGTGTCAGACTATCACGAGCATGGCTCACTTTTTGACTACCTGAATCGTTACTCTGTCACCATTGAGGGGATGATCAAATTGGCGCTATCAGCTGCCAGCGGCTTGGCACACCTACACATGGAGATCCTAGGCACTCAGGGTGGGACTTTCATGTCTGCAGAGTGGATGTGTTATATGTAAAGGTCGAGCATGTTCTTGATGCAAGTGTAATGCTGTTGTGTTGGTTCTCGTGCAGGTAAACCTGGCATTGCTCACCGTGACCTCAAGTCCAAAAATATTCTGGTTAAGAAGAACGGCACATGTGCTATAGCTGACCTAGGTCTGGCTGTCCGCCATGAGTCTATCACAGACACGATCGATATTGCACCGAATCAGCGCGTGGGCACTAAGAGGTAAATGTTTCCATACTTATCAGCACTCAAGTAGATAAAGCGCACAGGGGATTTTACAGGTCTTCCCTGAGGCCTTAAAGAATACATCTGACAACTTTCTTTTTTTCTTCTAATACTTTGAATATCAGAAAGTAAAAACTTTGAAAAGCTGGATTTTAGTTTTCTGACTTTTTCATAATTCTAGTCACTCTTGGATGTAATACCCTGTTATTCTCTGCACCACAGAAATGGGAGACCTTGGTAGAACTTTGAGTGAGATAGATGTACTGTGATGTAGAGTGTAAAAGATGGCAGTAGCTACAATGACCACACAGTGGTTTGTCAAGTCCTGTTTTCAAGCCTTAAGATGTGAGTTTTCTCAATGGCTGTCTTGGTGATCTTAAACTGCATGCTCAATTATTGAGGAGGAGGAGAGCTGACTGTGAAACTGCATGCTCATTGGCCAACAACTTGGCATAATGCAAAAATTCAACATGACCAGAAACGAGTCACCGAGGTCAGAAGGTGATCAGGAAAGTGTTTCCTGGGGTGAAGCGTGAGGGCTGTTTTTTCTCATATGCTGAGGACCAGAAATCTTTTTTTGCAGCCATAGGTATCGCCCCCTAGTGGGCATTACAAAGAATGAAAGTTTGAGACTTGTTGGGAGGCTGTTATCTTACTTCAGTTTCTATTAGTGGTGCTAAAGTTGTTGTTCATGCTGTGTGTGTCCACCCTCAGGTATATGGCTCCAGAAGTCCTGGACGAATCCATAAACATGAAACACTTTGACTCCTTCAAGTGTGCTGACATTTACGCACTGGGCCTGGTGTACTGGGAGATTGCGCGTCGCTGCAACACAGGAGGTAAGAGCACAATATAAATAAATATGATACAGTTGGTCAAATAAACAGAAACATGAAATCTGAGACTGAAAATGCTTCTCTGTCATGTACTACAGGTATCCATGAGGAGTACCAGCTACCCTACTATGACCTTGTGCCCTCTGACCCGTCCATAGAAGAGATGAGGAAGGTGGTGTGTGACCAGAAACTGAGGCCCAATGTGCCCAATTGGTGGCAGAGCTATGAGGTATTTCACACCATGTATATGAACAGCTGCACTAGTGGTTTCTAAAAATATGTCCAATGGCAGTATATGGAACCAGTTGGGCTGTATTAGTTTGGCAGTACAAGATGTTCTGGTCTACAAGTACGAAGGTAGACCGCCAACTTCTGAGTCAGTGTTGTGGGGGAGGATTAAAATAGTTTTATCTACTCAGTCGTCCATTGTTAAAATTTGGGGTTCATGATGTCCCTGAGCTGGCTACCAGCAAATAAAGCCAAACTTGGATAAATCAGTTCATTTCTGGATTTATTTTCACTTAAAAAACAAAACAGAAAAACAGCTTTTTACATAAAGTGTACTATTCTTAGCAGTGGTGCCCTCAATATACAAAATAAATGAGCCGGTCCAACAGTCTGTTATTGCCTTAGTGCAAGACGCAGTAATCAACATTTAATGTCCCTGATGTAGGTGCACAGGTCTGTCTTACCTTAAACTCTGACATTTTTCTCACACACAGAGGCTGGTTTGAAAAGCACAGATCGCGACTCATTCAAATGTCTGTGGCTATAAGTCATGTTGTAACACTTTTGTCCTCTTGCTGCACAGTCACTGCGCGTGATGGGGAAGATCATGAGGGAGTGCTGGTATGCCAACGGAGCAGCCAGACTGACAGCTCTGCGCATCAAGAAGACTTTGTCTCAGCTCAGCGTGGAGGAGGATGTGAAGATGTGAGCGTACAGGCGGCAGAAAGACACTCTGGAGACGCACAACCAGACAACACTCCCATAGGAAAGAAACACTAAAGACAGACTGCAAATGAAAACCCTGCCAGTTTTAAAGCCACACTCCAAGTTGTGACAAGGCCTACCTCACCTTTTTAGCCAAAACTACTGAGAATCAACCCTTCTCCTCCTCCTCCTGACTTTTCTCTCCCTTCCCCTGCCTCCCTTTAGCTCCTCACGTCTCTTCCTCCTTCCCTCTGACTCCCTTCTCCATGGGCCACAACACTACAGCACTACCACTGTTAATATCATCACACTCAACCTTTCTTTTTTCATCTCCCATGGCAGGAAGTAGAACTCTTGTACAGTGAAAAGAATCTTCTGTTTTTGATCATCTGTTTTCTTGTTTTTCCTTTTAACCTCTCTGAAATTGTCCAACATGGACTAAAGTTGTCCAGAAGAGTCGGGCATGTCGTGGGCTTCAAGTTTAGGAACGATTACACATAACTTTCCGTTGTGTTGGTCATACAACATCATATTCTGTCGCTGTAAGGAGGGGAAAGAGGCTGAAGCACTGTTTTTTATAGGTGTGTGTGCGTGTGTGTGTGCGCGTGCGTGTAAGTAAAAGGTGTCTGGACTACTAGCATGTTCCCAAGACACTACAATGTCTACTGGTGTAGGCTGTAGTTCATTAGAGAAAATCAGTTATTGGGCATGTGGTAATTAAGCATGAACAGCTGGATTGTGCTTTTTTCCCCTCATTTTATTCCCTCACTTGAATCTTCAAACACAAATTAGTTGCACTCAACTGTAGCTTCCTCATCACATGTGAGACCGGGCAGGTGTCACATAGCAGATGCGGTCCAGTCCTGGCGTTTAGTTTGAAATGTGGCAGGGATAATGTTGAATTTATTCAATTTTTTTTTTTCTTGGGATGGTTTTATTTATTTGTTCATAGTTTTTACTACATAATGATGAACACTGTGAGATGAGATGTGACAAACCACAAAATTAAATGTCGTAGTTCAGTCAAAGTCTTCAGAGTCGTGGGTTATTGCATTCATTTATTTTTTAAATTTAATTTCTTCTTTTTCTTTTCTTTTTTATTAAAGTAAAGATGCTGTTTGAAAAATGAATGCAGCCATAACCCTCTGGCGGTGACAGGTGAAGACGTAGTACACACGGTGCAAATAAGAGGCGTATGAAAAGGCAATGAAAACAATCCTTTCTTTTTTAAATATATATATTTTTTGTGTAAAAGATCATGATGGGTGTTTTTTCTTCTGGCTTTAACATTAGACACTACTGATGATGGGTACATATGATTTGTATATACAACATGCATTTTGTTTTATTTTTTTCCTTCTATGCCACAAGCTCCAGTGTGACATTGAACAGTGATTTTAATCTGATGGTACTTTCACGCGTCTGTTTGATCCGTCTATGGTTTCTGACTGTCCGAGGAAAGGATTGCGATATCTGCTGGAATTTGTATTTCACTTGCTCCTCTCATGGTAATTTGGTGGTACTACTGATCCCAGGCCATTTTGCTGCAACTTCCTTTTTTTTAATTTTATTTTATTTTTTAAATCTATATAAACACAACTATTGCAGTTGCTTGTTGAGTTCTTTCAAGAGCCCAGTAATGCAGATCTGCTTCTACATACGTCTTCTGGGGTGACATCTTTTTCAATGACACTGGAATACTTAGCAGCTTCTTGTAAACCTTACTATTCTGATACTGCCACTGGCTGTTTATTCAGAAATCCAGACGATTGCTGACAGTTCGCGCACAGGGAACATGTGGTTAGATGTAAAATGTAGTTGGGAGTTTTACTGTCAAAGACTGACATGCTGTAAAGAGAAACTGCATGTTTTCATTCTACGTCTGACTTTGTGAGCCTGTCTCCAGACGAGACTATGAAAGTATTACACTGACATTTGTCACCATCGGGCTCTGCACTGTTATGTCCACAAGGGCGATTAGTTAACGTTAGTTACGCCATCACTTGATCCAGAATCCATGTGTCATGTTGGTATCCATTTTTTGCATGCTGTCTCAAACACTGGGTCCTCTGCATTGAGGTAGATAAACTTGAGAGATGATATTGTTTTTTTTTTTTTGTTCCCCCCCCCACCCCCCACCCCCATTTCCTGTGTTTGTTTTTGTTTTTTTTTTTTTTATTTTGTTTTTGTGTTTTTTTGTTAGTGTGTGTGTGTTGTGATATTTGTGTGTGTAGTGTGTGCTACTGTTAACATGGGTAGAAGTTCAGCGGGCAGAGGGAAGTGAATAAAAGAAGGGAGGGGAAGTGGGCGACTGCTGTCAGTTGAACCAAAATTGTCAAAACACTCCTGTCCATGTTTGGTTTGTTGCCATGGGTATATGACCATCAGACATCCTGTTCATAGGTAATAAAAAAATAATATTGTGCAGATCTTTTCAGAATTAGTTCAAAGGTGTACATAGATGATATACAATAAAATCCTCTTTTTCTTATCCGTGACTCTGGCCATGCTCATTTCAGATGTTCGGTTTTCTCTTGTTTTTTTTGTTTTTTTTTGTTTTTTTCTTCATAAAGAAGATAATATTTTAAAATATGGCTTGTGACTAAAGACAAAATGCACTGATGGGGGATTATAAATTACAATATAACTATATTTACATACAAATACTTAGGTGCACTACAATGACTGGTAACATCTCAGGTTCTTATAGGAAACAATTACAGTGGAAGTACATTTAAGTAGTGCTTAAGTAATAAGTACTGCATGGAGTAAATAATTGTAAGTAGTATTTTAATTACCTGGTAGTTTTACAGAAAAGCAATATTTGCCCATCTTACATTATAAATTTGTTATATTGTTGGGGGTCATATTATGGAGTGACTTGCATTTTTCCCCCACAGCCATAAAAAGCTGATTGTCGTCACCCTGCCAGACGGGCAGGTGACGTGGACACCCGTGAACGCTAAAACTCCAGAACGAAGCGACATAGCGGTTTCACGTCTATGGCTGTATCCCAATTCAGGGTCTGCAGCCTTAAAGTACGCAGCCTCAACATCCTCAAGGGCCGCGTACTCAAAGACCGCTAAGGCCGGAAGTGCGAGGCTTGTGAAATGGGACGGTCTAGCCTCCGTTGCGCTGCCCAGGTTGCCTAGCAACCATGATACTAACAGCTGGAAACGTGTCATACAGCTTGTTTGACAGAAATGAAGGAGAAAATCTTTTGTTCATTTTGTTTGTTTCTACATGAGCTTTGATCATTCTCTGTAAGATTAAGCTCAGCTATTGAACGGCGTATATTTTAAAGTAAAGGCTTTAAAACCAAGTTAGTACAAACGTCACTAATGTCACATACTTTGCCGACATGTGGCCAACAGTAATGTTTTAATGTTCTTCGTTATTAAACATTTGCACATAAATAAGTGACATAATATTCAGTACTTAAAGTTTACTCTTCGGCTGCCCCTCATCCGCCGTTTTTTCTGCACACCACCGCCGCGCTATGCATTCTGGGATATGTTGGGCCACGAAGTCTACACTGCCACAGCCTTAAAATTCAGGGAAATGAAGGACGCATTTCAGGGCCGCATTTCGAGCAGCCTTTGAATTGGGACAGCCTTCGGCGCGCCGCTGTGACGTAATCGGCCTTGAAATGCGTACTTTAAGGCTGCAGACCCTGAATTGGGATACAGCCAGTATCATCAGTTTCTCTACTGAAAATCTGGTTTAAACATCGGTGACTTTGACCTCAAGGTCAGAGGTCAAGTTCTCTGAAAATCTTGTGAATGCGATAGCTTGAGTAGGAAGTCACCTACGATTTCGAAATTGACACCACAGGAGGACCTATTAAAAATCTCAACAGTTCAAGTTCAAATCTCATTGACCTCGATCTCAAGATCAAGGGTCAGAGGTCAACTTTTTTTGAAAAGCTTGTGACTGTGATAACTTGTGAACAATGCGACGTAGGATTTATTTTTTTTAAATGGTACCATAGATCTATCTAGCAGGAGGCCGAGGGGTGCCGCTGGCCCCTGCCAGTGTTTTTATCTCAGTCATTATGTTGATGTGCATGTTGGATTTTCTATTATTATTATTTTTTTTACTCTTAGGTTTTTACTTTTACTTTATTGTAGTGTACCTAGCTGTTAAGTATGTGCATGTAAATATAATACCACTACGCCCTCAGTCATACAGCATTACCAAAAACTACATATCTACATTTGCTAGTTCATTAAGACTTTGTGACATACATCCATACATGGCAGGTGTTTTACCAAATTCTGACCCTTCAATCCCTAATGTTGCTGAAATGATGGCTTATCAGACTCGGCAATGATTTTCCAGTTTTGCTGATTCTAGCTTCGGTTTCCTTTCCTTAGCTGACGGGAGTGACACCAGTGTGGTCTGCTGCTGCTGTAGCCCATCTGCTGTGCTTTCAGAGATGCTCTTCTGCATATACTGGTTCCAGGACCCCGGTTATCTAATTCACTCTTTCAATCCTACCAGCTAAAAGCACACAGCTCACAGACCTTATCTGCTGACAAGGACAATGGCACAACTTGTTTACTTTCTGTTGGCCTGTATGCGAATAGAATTGAGATTTTTAAGCAATAAAACATGTTTATTTTAGAGGTTTTTGTTTGGAACTTCAAATCTAAAAATCACACTACTCTACAAATGACCAATTTAAGAATTATAACCATGATGGGAGTGCTCTTACTCTGCTTTTTGGCATCATCCTATGGTTTGCACGAGTGCCATGTGAAAGCTTTGTTTTCCCAGAATAATTTAGTGGATTTTCTTGGTTCATGTATAGAATAGTTAAGCATCCCTTTACTGACCAGTAGGACCACCACGAGTAAAAACGGTACATATAACCATCGGTTGACCCAAGTATCAAGCTTCGTGGTCATGTGCTGACAATAGAAAATGAGCACATATTTAAAATGCATTTTATTTTTCCTTTACAAGAAACAAAAGACAAAGAAATAAGATGAAGGGGAAAGGAAGTGGAAAACCAGTATATAAAGAGATGCAACCTCTGGCGTCCTGAAAAAAATATGTACAATTCAAAATAATATCCATATAAAACATGCCACATACAATAAAAATGATCATTATATTTATTCATATTCCCTAAAAGTATCTCTGCTGTACAGATGCAACATCTTTTTTTTTGTATTTTAAAGTACGTGAGGTTAAAAAGAAAAAAAAAATCAAATTATGAGCAACCTTTATTAAATTATAAGATATGCAGAGAACTTAAATTAAGTTTCAGAGAAGTTAAAAATTATTCAGGCGGAAATCCAGTGAGCGGCATAATGTCTCGTGTTCTTCCCTTGGAATAGAAACATACCAAAAAATATAGATATATATGTATATATATATATCACTGCTTCGGATACTTGATCAATATCTACCACTTCAGAGAAAGTTTCTGTTATACTACGAGAGTGCAATTCATTACCAGGTTAAGTATGGGATTAACTTTGATTATTACATCATAACATACATCAGGCCAAGTAACCATTTCACAATGTTAACCAACACATTCACTTCTATAGGGAAGATATTAAAGGAAAAAAAAAGAAAAAGCAAACACTAACAATATTCTAGGGAATTCAAGATTTGTCCATTCAAGACTATATGAATCCAATTTTGACCGATTAAAGGGGGAGGTTTTGGTAAATCAACAAGCAGTAGCATAAATAAAAAGAAAAAAATAAACATGAACAATATTACATAAATACAAATGCTATGCACCATTGTACTGCTTTATGCAAGAAGTGATTTTTCCATGTCTAATTAACAACTCTCTGCGTGAATCCAAACAGCCTCGTTATCACGTCGGCTTCTTGTCGAGAACCCCGGACATTTTCCTCACATCTATTTTTAACAAACTCACCTGAAAGCTTATAGCAAAAAACACTAATAGAAAAAACAAGTAAATGCAAAACACTCTGGTTCATATACATAAAGATATTAGTTTGCCATTTTACATATATTTATATTTATGTACAGCTTTATCTTTGTTAAAATGATATCCAGTGGTTGATTTTTTTTTCCAATTTTATTTTTCTACACTTTTGACTTTGATTACAAAGGGGCTGGATAAAGAGCTGTTGTCCCCCCCTCCCTCAATGCATATAGTATATTTACAGTTTTTACAACTTTGCATTTTTAAAATCATGTGAGGTCTTAGGTTAAGGGAAGGAGGAACCAAAGTAGTATGGGAAGGTGGAGTTTTAGTAAAGCTCCCTTTAAAGACTTTTTTTTCTCATTATTCTTATACAGAAATGAAAACAAATGCCCTTTTTTCCAATAAGTCTTTCCCTGCCATCAGTTCAGCCTCGAGGAGACAGTACCAGCACTAGAAAAAGCACACTACAGGGGAAGTAGAAACACTGCAGGCTGTACTCAGGCGGAGGAAGACTTACTACAGTAAAAGTTTAACAACAGTCCATTAAATAATACAGAGAGAGGAAGAGGCATGATTAAAGTTTAAGGTTGACTTGTTGGGGAGTAAAAAACAAACAAAAAAAGAAGAGAAAAAAAAAAAGCACTGAATGGGGACAGTAGTCATGCATCTGCTGGCTCCTTTTTTTTTTCCCCCAAACAAGTGGAACTTTCAGGTGTGAAACAACCAGCTAATGGGTACTTGGTTAATTTTGGACCTGCGTGATCCTTGAGCCATTCACTCAAACTCTTACTGTCTTAAGCAACTCAGAAAAAATAAATGTGGATGTCATTGTGCTTTCACACAGCTAATAGCAGGATTTTGTTTTTAGATGCATAAATAAGAACACAAAAGCAAAAAGCTACATCAATATCCAGGATGATTTGGTGGCATACAGAACACCCACTAAGCTTCTGATTGTGACTTTAATGCAATATCTTATCAAAACTGTCATATAGTTCATCTGTATAAATAATTCATGAATAATAATTATGTTGGCTCATTATTGTAAATCATCATCAGCATAGAGTAGATAGAGCAAACCTGCTGCTTAAGATTCCCTGCTTGTCCGAGAAGGCTAAGCCCATAAAAACAACCCTCCCACCCCCAAAAATCACCATCGCGCCCCCTCCCCAACCCCCCGGAGTATTTCCACAGTAGCAGTTAACAGTTTTTATACAAAGCAGTCACTTCTCGCTAAATCAGTGAGGTAGACTGGGTCCAACTAACCCACCATGGGACTCCACACAGTCAGAACATCTGGTGCGACTGAAGCCACAGATCAATAGTATCTTACATTTTTTATATTAACTTACTTTTTTCTCCTCTTTTCTTTTTCCTCTCTCCATCGATCACATGTAGTTCTCACACAGAGCCACATCAAGATTGTCTAGCTAGCCAATATCCATGTTGTCGTTATGAGTCATTGATGGGAAAGTGCCTTGTCTGGGAGGTAAGGGGGGGAGGTGTGGTCAGACGGGACAGGAAATAGGTCCGACTTAAAACATTAAAAAAAAATTTTTTAAAAAGTGTCCTTAGTTCATTCTTAACATTTTTAATGGCTTTTTTTTTGTCGAAGCTCCAGATGAGCTCTGTACTACGAGCAGTGATATCAGAGGGTCAGAATGTTTTGGTAGATGGTGAGGATCATTTTCCAGCCACTGTAAGCTTATTGAGACCAGAATAGTTGGGAGGGTTTGAAGTGGGGGATGGGGAAGAGGAGGGATTTGGCTGAGGAAAGGGTGATTCAACTACTCCAAACACGAAAGTTAGTCCCACCATCAAGCTTCTGCTGATGAATGGTGGTCGGCTGCTTTTATTGATTAATGCTCTTCAAACCTTTGGCTACAGGTAACACTTTAGTCTTTTAATAGCGGAGGCCAGCCTTCCTCCATATCTTTATGAACAGCTTATGCACTGGCGATGTAGGATTTTCATAGGCTTTGGCGCAGGAGTGTTCTGGTACCAGCGAGAGGGAATTTTCCATCTTTCTGGTTAGTTCATCCATTTTCGGCAATTCCAGGCTCCGCAGTGGCAAGGGATCTTGTGCTGATCGTCCTCAAAATCAAACTGGTAGTCGTACGTCAGCTGGAATTAAGAGAGAGACAGTTAAAGGCTGCAGATATAGTAGTAGTACAATGAAGGCTGTTTATCACACCGCACCTCCTCTCCTTTAGGAATCCTTCGGCTGGAGATGATGATAATCTTGTCTTCTTTGTCAAACGTTACAACCTCAGCAACACAGTTGGGCGCACAGGAATGGTTGACATAGCTGGTGAGAAGGGAAATGGGGGAAAATCAAATCAATTTGGGGGAAGAAAATAAACATAAAATAAGGGTTTAAAACAAGGCAGCCATGCACAAGCAAACACTTACCGGGCTGGGCCACCTGTTAAAGTTGCATCGATCACTTGCTCGTTGTTGATACGGAACATGTAGATCCCTCGGTTCTACGGCAAAAGAGCAAGAGGAAAAAAAGAAAAAAGGTCAGACGTGTCCTACAGCTGTAGAAAGTTGAGCGGCACAGCAAACAAAGTTTCTGCACCACCCATTCTCCATCAACTGTTTGAGTACCTGCGCTTCATAGATCTTCTCCCTGCGATTGGCCACCTCGTTGCGTATGACAGTACCAATGTACTCAATAACCATCGTATGCTTCTCCAAATCCTTCGCAGCGTACAGCCCCAGGCCCTGAATGCGGGAACGTGCCAAGTACACGTTGTTCTTCCACTCAGTCTTCAAGCGCCGATACTGGGAGGATTTGGAGTGGACAAACTGCTTGCTGTACGGTGTGTTGAGCTCTCCAGTGAAGGTACTCTGGTAGGCCTTGGACACACTGGTGCTGTTAAGAGTGTGAGGCCTAAAAAGAAAGAAAAATGAAAGTCTGAATGTTTTGAATTTTACAGGTTTGAAGTTGTTTTGAAGCAAGTTACTTGCATTACATAGATGTTAAAAGAGTTTCATTTTTTTATGTATATTACCTCACCAGTCAACATATTCTGTCTGGAATTTAACTCCGCAAAAATGTTAACATTTAGTCAACAAGCCTCTTCGACGTGAGTCACATGGCTGTGCAGATTAACAGATATGTCAGAACGTGTTGAGTGTGCAGCTTCTCGCTAAAAATAATGCTTTACCTCTTGCAGTGTGTGGGGACCTTGGGCTCTGAGCGAGCACAGCCAGTGGGATTAATCATGAGTGGGAGCTCCATCAGAGGGTGCCGGCCGTATCTAAATTGGTAATTCTGGCAGTTCTCCACTCCGGGCAACTAAAACACAACAAGTCAACAGTCAATGATCATCATAATGGACTTATAATGGCTATAAAGCTTATCATTTCTGGTCACATTGAGTTCAGTTAATACAAGATAGAGCAGATATTTTGTGAAGTCTGTAATGCTGTTTTATTACCGTCTGAAACGGTTATCCAACCACAGATCAGTGAACATGGGAGATAAAGACAAAATAAAAAAGGGACAGAAAGTGCTCGGGATTCTTACCGACTCAGTGATTCTCATGACAGCGTGAATTGTAAGGCCATACATCTCCTCCCCTTTGATGTGTTCAGTGAACAGTTTCAACATGGATGATTCCTCACGAAGTTTAGCCACCTGCTGAACAACCCGGTCCCAGATCCCTAAAGACAAAAACAGCAAATTCAACTCTGTTCTTTAAGGTTAAGAAACATAACAAAGGGAGAATAGAGCACAAAAATCAGAAAGCACTTTTGTGTTACCTTCTGGAGTAGGGTCACGGTACTGTAAATCCTCCATCCCATGCTCCAGAACACGCACTTCAAATAGCGGGCGGCCATCATCTTCACTGATGCGGCAGCGGTAGCGGCATCGCTTGTTGGGTACGCGTGTGCTCCAGTAGATGCGTGTGGCCTCGTAGCCAACGGGGAAGATTGCAGTAGCTGAGTGGAAGTTGGCCATCTGGGAGGGCAGCAACTGGCCAATAGCGTGAAAGATGAGACTTCCGACGCGGAACAGGTGGATACGGTCTCCACGCTGCAAGATGCTGGCTATCTGTTTCACCTCGTCACGCTCGATGTAGACGCGGCGTAGGACCGCAAATGTGCTGAGTTCATCGTCACTGGGCCCCTTCAGTTTATGCTGGGTGCACAACATGGTCTTATCCTTAAAGAACATGCAGCGTGCCCGGATGGCACAGGCAAAGTGGTAGACATTCGGGCAGCGCAGTCTGTTGCAGCTGTTTGTGGCACCAGTTTTCTGGCAGTACGCACAAAGAGTCCGCAATCCGCGACGCAGGGCTACCTCCACGTTGATTAGGGCACCCCCCTGTGTCTCGTACACCTCTGTGGACCACAGAGCGCAATTTAAGTGCACCCATAGGTCCACATCAATATTAAGCAAACGAGCGGGCCCATCTGTGGCACCATCGCCTTCCTCGTGGCAGAAGCAGCATTTGCGTTTATCCCGAGGCAGCCTTTCTGGTCGAAGAGTAATGCGCAGCCGTTCCATCAGTTCAGACACCTCACGGCTGTTTTCTTTCTTAGAGCCACCTTTCCGAATCGAGATAACAATCTGAAGACGCTTCCAGCGAATCCCCTTCCATTTCTTCAGTTTTGGATGCACCACCTCCTCATCAGGTGAGAGAGGCCTGCGTTGCTTGACAGCTTTAGGGGAAGACTCCATGGGGGTGGGAGAATCTTTAGGAGGTTGAGCTGGATCAGTGACCAAATCCTCTACCTCCTCCTCCTTGACAACAGCGCTCAGATGATCTTCAGGAGCAGCAGCAGGATCAGAAACTGCCGAGGTAGCTGCTGCGTCTGCGCAAGACTCTGGAGCAGCAACTTCAGGCTCTGTGACTTCAGTTGATTGAGCAGCATCAAGAGGAGGATTAACATGCTGTTCAGGCTCAGCTGTTGTTTGGACATTGGCCGGACTGGAGGGAGACGGTGATGAGGAAGTTGATTTTTTGGAAGGTTCAGCTTCACTAGTTGTAACTGGCAGAGATGGAGGAGGATGAGGAGGAGACGGTGATGGGGGTGGAGACTCCTCCACTGGTATAATAGGAAGGTGGCGCACATCCAAATCATTTACATTGGTTGTATAGCAGTGCTGAACCGGTTTTTCTTCAGTCTCTGCAAATTCCTGAGAGCAAAATGCACGCAGGAGATGTAACGCTTTCAACACATGTAATAAAAAAGATTAAATGAGGCAATAGGAGACCTTTAGGGACCAACCTGTTTAATAAGTGCCAGAATGTCAACTTGTTTCTTCAGTGTACAGCCAGGTAGAGACACATCAAATTGCCTTAGCCACTCATCCTGACTAGGTGAAGCACCATCCTTTGTACACAGAACCCCTGTAAAACATAACACGGATAGATGGTATAGTCACTCTGCCACAATTTGTTTTAAAAACAAAAACCCCCAAAAACATTTAAACACCAAATTTGCTCAACTAACGTGCTTAAACTACAATCATGAGATGGGATTAATGAAAGACGAAATATTTACATTAGCAAATAATATGACAGGTCACTTTGAGGCAGAATTTTGAATGTCTTGACAGACTCGCACCCTTTTGCTTTTAGCTAAATAGGAACTCACTCCACAAAAAAAAAAGAAAAAGAGAAAGAAAATAATTTAAAAAAAGACATCAGCAGAAATCTAAAAAAGCTAAACCATCAATTTATTTATTTTAGTGTGTACCTGATTGGCCAGGTCCTTTCGCAGGCCCATCTCCTCCTGACATTTCAGGGTTTTGGGGAGGGATAGTGACCTCATAAGTACCTGGCATTCTAATGTTAAGAAGCTGGGCCATGGCCATCATCACGTGATTTAGTTTCTGGAAAATATTAGTAGAAGTTTAGATTGCCTCAATAGATTCAGACATAAAAGCTTTTAAAGACGATATAAGATTATGATGGCTTAGTACCTTGGCTGCAGCAGATGACAACGTGAACGTTACAGACACCTCGTTGCTTTTGCTCTTATCCCAGTGGTTGGATGTTGAATCTACCTTGCCGTCAGGAGCTTCGAATTGTTTATTTTCTGTGAATGCTGTAAGCAAATGTGTAAATTCAACATTTGTCTGCATTTCAAGACGCAAACAGATTTAATATTTTAAAAAAATAAATAAAAAAAATTAGACAATCGCATAAATTCCAAGCAGGTTTCCCCATGACCTATGTATCCATGCAACCATATAAAACAAACTAACTTAGAATTTAATCCCCCATACAGAGCAGCAGCATTGCTACCTCAGCAGACCGTAGGATGTGACATGCTGAGTAGAATACCTGGGATGGCAGTGCGAGGTATGAGGGGTATGATAGGGGATATTGCCCTGTCTGTCTCCTCCTCTTTAGGCTCCCGCAGATGAGGAAAACGTGGAGTTTCATCTCCTACATTACTCTCAGGGGATGATGCTGGAATTATGCTTTCTGGAGCATCCTCATCGTCACTTTCCATCCTGTTAAAAGATATTTCACACATTTATAGCCTCTTTAAGAAAATATCTATGCTATGGACTGATAACTATGCACAGTTTTCCTTGTGTACCTGATATCCTCATTCTGGTTATGTGGTGGTGTGGGGAGAGCTGCTAGAATATCTACACTCTTTACCTCCTCTTTCACAGAATCTGAAGGAGGAAACAAAATGCAGCATTATAATACATTGCATTTAGAATGCAATTACTGCATAACTGTGGATTAATAATTAACAATAAATGTACCCATCGGCTCTTCAGCAGGCTCTCTGTTTTTCTGTCTCTCAGCCAGATCCTCCCCAGCTGTTACTCCATTGAGCAGTTTGTGCTGTACTGATGGTGGAGGAGTAGGTGGCAAGGAAGATGGGGGTGTTGGGGGGTTGCTGAGGTTGCTCTGTGAATGCACAAACAATATGTTCTTGAAGACTTTGCTCTGAAATTACCATTATGCCTCATTCAAAATGTTGGTGGTGCACTGGCAGCTTCGTTTGACCTTAGTGAGTAACTGAGAGTAGTAGTCTGGGATATTGTCTAACACTGCATTTCCAAATGAGCCTTTTAGCTGGGCTTTTCCATTGGCTGGACTGCTTCCAAAAGGTGCAAAAAGATCCACACTGGCAGTGATTGACGGCTCCATCAAGGGCAGCAGAGAGAGGCCCTACAGAGTAAAAATCCATTAGCCAAGAAAAGGAACAAGAATCAATCTTCAGATCATCAGTGGCAAAATATCATTAGGGGGGAAATGTATTTTGACATTATTGTACCTGTTTGAGTTGTTTTAACAAGGCTTCAGCACTTTTTCCAACTTCTTCCTTCTTGTTTTTCTTCCGTGCATTAGGCCCTCGATCTCCAGCTGCCTTATTAGTGCGCTTTGGCTTTTGCACAGGAGGCCTTTTTGTTATCGATTGCAGATCCTGTAAAAGGTCAAGAAAATAAAACAGATTTTTCCCAAATATAACATCAGGGTAAAGAGTCTTGATGCATGCTCAATCATCCAGGTAAGTAAATCCCAAAAGGTTGAGTGACGAAACATTTCTCCCATTGAAAACGCTACGTCCAGATAAACAGAATCAACCTTTTGGGATCAGGCTAAAGAGAATGAATACACTTTAGGAAAACATACCTCCATGTTTCGTGGAGTCCCTTGAAGCTTCTGCTCAAGCATTGCCAGTTTGCTGTTGATGTGACCATTGATCTCACTGTGGATGCCTTCACAAGGCCTCTGAGCACCAAGCTGAATATTCTTAGTTCTTAGGAGTTTCTGCAGCAACTGCTGTCCAGTCTCAGATCTAGGGCTTTGAGTCACAGCAGCACTTCCAGCATTAATAAAGGTAGTGTTGTTCCCAGCGTTAACCATCTCCCCGGTTGCTTCATGCTTTATAGTCCCAGTAGGAGCTTCAGCCGCACTGTCACACTGGACCTCCCTTGGTTCCTGTTTAATATTCTGTATTGTCATTTTGCATAGCTCCTCTTGTTTGTCTTCTGCACCCTGCTGCAACTGACGCTGAGCATTTGTACCTCTCTGTGGCCCATTGGAAGTCACTGAAGCAGCCAGACCACTGCCTGGTGACTGAGTGTCTGCTTTAGGTCCTGGACAATCAAGTGGACTCTTAGCCCCGGGTGACCTGAGTGGAGAAGCCTTGACTTGACTGTAGGGACTGCCCCTCCCAGCCCTGCTGTCAGCTATAGAAGGTGAGGAGACATGAGATGAATGGGGTGAGACTGGGTGGACTGGACTCATGCCAAAGGGAGTTCTTGGAGAATATGCATGCGATGGAGAGCCCTGCACACGGCCTGCCATTAGTGCTTGCTGTTGGTTCTGGGTGGGAGTGGGTGGACGAATCCCCATAGCTTGATTAAAAGTGTGCCGTTGAGAATCCCCAGGGGAGTTGGCTAATGGCTGACGTGGAGATGCTGGCCTCACCATTGGGCCCTGGTCCATTGGGGAGTGTGGCACCTGTCCTCTCATATGTTGCTGCATCATCTCTCCCACTTGGAGCTGCTGCCCAGAGACCATCATTCCTTGCTGTATCTGAGGAGCAACACCAGGTTGTTGGCCTGGCATACCTGGCTGGTGTTGATTTCCCACTGCTCCTGGATTCCCCATGACTCCATGTGACATTTGATGGCCTTCCATCCCCATCATTTGCTGTCCCATCTGTGGGAGCTGAGGCCTCAACTGATGTTGTTGGCCCTGACCTATTGGCATCCGCAGCATTTGTCCTTGTTGTCTTTGTGCAATCATGGCTTGGATGTGCTGTATTTGTTGGTTGGGGGGGAGATTGCGGAGCTGAGGATTCTGAGCAATAATGGCCTGGATGTTGATAGGGGCGCGGATCTGTCCAGGAGGAACACCAGGTCTCTGTCCCATCATTCCTTGCTGCTGAGCTCTCATCATACCCATTAAAACCTGCTGTTTCTGCTGTTGGGCCATGATGGCCTGCTGTTGTGAACTAAGACCCATCATAGCAGGTTGTTGCTGCCCTGGATGGTTGTGTCCTGTGATCTGTTGCGGCATGGTGGGGTCCTGTGGCTGCTGTGTGGCATTTTGAAGAGTTTGCTGTTGATGATGTAAGAAATCAGATGTTTTTCCTTCCTCTTTAATTGTCATCAAACTGGGCTTGTCAGTGGTGAGGGAACTTTGCCTCTGGACAGTGACTGGAAGTTGTTGCTGCAGTTGCTGCATACCAGTTTGCTGGTTCCCGACCAAACCCGACTGTTTCTCATGTACAGACTGGGGATTTGATTGTTGCTGCTGGCCTACATAAACCTGATTCTGGTGCTGCTGCTGTCGTCCCAGGTCAGTTTGATGATCATTTGCAGAGCCTAGTTGTATCTGGTTGGGAGTAGAGGGTCCGCTCTGCTGTGGTGGGGTTCTTGAATCAGGGCTGAGGATACCACCTTCTTTGGGTCCTGAGTTTTGGCTCTCTGTAGATCCCTGGGGCTGGGGTGTGTTACTTCCTGCTGAAGGAGAGGAACCCATTTGTGGGGTAGAGGGTTGGGAAAGACCTTGCTCTTGGCCAGACTGGTTGATCAACTGTGCTGGTTGTCTTTGTTGTGTCATTTGCTGCTGCTGAAGGTGGGCTAAATTCTTTGTAATATTTTGCTGAGATGCAAGCATGCGTTGGGCCAGAATGTTCTGTTGTTGAGGAGTCAACTGGGCATGGGGCCCCCTCAGGCCAGGGTGACCTTGAGCACCAACCATACCCTGCTGTCCCATCATCAGCTGAGGCCTCTGCTGCTGTGACAATGCAACTTGTTGGTTACCAATTATTCCTGCCTGAGTTGATACCATGCCTTGAGAATGGTTAATAGGCTGGCCGCCCACAAGACTCTGTGATGGAGCCACAGTCTGGCCTCCAACTATTCCTTGTGCAACCTGGACCATGTTCTGCTGATTAGCTAGCATACCCTGCTGAGTGTTCGCCTGTTGTTGTGCCATAAGTTGGTGCCCCATCATACCAGCCTGCGACTGATTGATTAAACTAGACTGTTGATTTGGGAGTGACACTGGTTGTTGGCCCATCAGCTGCTGTTGCTGGAACTTTGCCATCTGCATCCTATGCTGAAGTTGTCTTTCTTGAAGAAGCCTAGGGTCTGCACCTTGCACCCCAGGCCCCTGAGGGAAAAATCCTCCTGAAGGCCCAGGAGGACCTGGGACCCTGGCACCACTGGCTCCAAGAGCCCCAGAAAGCTGTGGCTGGGCTCCTCCAATAAAGGGTTGACCTTGGGGCATTCTGACAGGCATCCCACCTTGGGGTACCATGCCAGGATGTTGCCCCATTACTGGTGCCCCCTGCTGGCCCATCATCATCTGACCAGGCATTTTGGGAAACATGTGAGAGGGCCCCCCCTGTGCAGAATGACCTTGGGTTATAATACCAGAGCCTTGCTGCTGCTGCTGTTGTTGTTGTTGTTGCTGCTGCTGCTGCTGCTGCTGTTGTTGTTGTTGTTGATGCTGCTGCTGTTGTTGTTGATGCTGCTGCTGCTTGCTTCTGTACTCTGCAATTAGATTTGTGTGCTCCTTCTGTTGCTTGCGCACCTAAAACAGAATATTTATGAGGACATCTGTATATCATGTATATCAAATGTGCCAGAAGCCTTTTTTGTGCAATGCAAAAATTGTTTTCAGAACATTGAACATCTACACACCTGGTCAAGCTGCTTCTGAATTTTACTCTGCTCTTCTGTGACCAACTTAAGTTTCTCTGCATCTGCCTCAGCAAACTCTCTGCCAGCCTTCTTAGCAGTGCGTTGCTTCGCACACAGTGCTTTGCGTGATTTGCGATGAACTCCTATCTGTTCTTCCAAAAATTTCAGTTGCATTTGGAGTAACTGCTGGGTATGAAGAAGCCATTCTTCGTATTGGTGCTGTTCAGCATCATCTATAGAAAAGAAATCACAAACCACCCTTAGCTATCCACAAATGTATGGAGACTGCAATAAAAAAATAAATCTTAAAAAAAAAAAAGAAAAGAGAAAAAAAAGACTCAATTCAGCTCAAAAGGCAGTATTGGTCAAACATACTGATTATTCCTTGCACAAACTGAGGAGGGTTAGGCCTTGACTGGGGTGGATCACTTGTCTCTCCCTCCTAAACAGAAAAACATGGCATTTAAATGACTCAGCTATCATCAGTTTTACAAATTAAATCATCGATCGCTTTTTAAAAATAAACCAACATACCTTTGCAGGTCCAGATGCAAGTTGATTTGGATCTGTGGCTGGGGCAGAAGCCAGCCTCTGAGCAAGCAGAGAAACTTGTTGCCTGAAGAGAAAGCAAAACAGTGCTGAGTGACATCCACTTAAAAATATTTAACATGGGCCTCAGCAAACAGGTGTGCTAATGGTACAGTTGATCGTCTAATCGCAGTCTTTAACACTGAAGTCACCATTGCAGGCATGTCTCTGACACATAGCTACTGCAAATAAGTGGTTGCTGAACAGTTAACCTTGTGAACAGTGGTGTTAGGGATGCTACTTTTACGTTGAACAGCTTACAAGAGCTGGAACCAACAACAAAAACTAGATCTGAAGATAATCACAATCAACACATGCTCTGCTTTCTAGCAGCAGTTCAACAATGGCAAAAACATATCCATGTCATTTATTAAAAAAAACCCCAAAAAAACAAAACAAAAAACAAACGCATTATTAGAAATACCTGTTAATGCCAGTGGGAACAACCATTGGATCCTGTGCCAACACTCTCTTAATACCCTGAAGGGCAACCATCTTCGCCTTGGCAATGGGATCCATGTTATCTGTAGCAAATTTGTCCAAATCTGCAATAATAGGTGAAATTAGTGGAAGTATGGAAAAACAAAAGAAAAAAGAAGAAGTTGTGGCCGTGACAAGACATGAAGCTTACCTTTATCTGGGAAGAAGCTGTTGGTCAGAGTTGACTGTTTTACTGCTGGCTGCTGCTGTTGTGATTGATGGCCAAGTCCTGGCTGGATCACTGGCTGCATCCCTGGCTGCATCCCAGGCTGCATCCCAGGCTGCATCCCTGGCTGCATCCCAGGCTGCATCCCAGGCTGCATCCCAGGCTGCATCCCTGGCTGCATCGTCCTCATCATGGTTTGCTGCTGGGCCATCATGTGAGTTGGCGGTACTATACCAGGTCCCATAAGCCTTTGCTGCTGCAACATGTGTGACGCACGCGGTACCATCCCTGGCTGATTCATCATACCTTGGGGTGGTGGACGATGGTGGTGTGGTAACATTATTTGCCCAGATGAATGTTGATTCGGATGTGGATTTGGAATGCCTGAAAACTGTTGTGGTATGCCTCCTTGTTGAAGAGAACTGAGCTGTTGCTGTTTCTGTTGTTCTTTCTTTTCATGCTCCAGGAGATCTTGTATTAGAAGAGGCAGTTCACCATCTAATGAGCTCTCTACCTTTGCCAGATCTACAGCAGGAGAGTGCTGCTCCCCTACATCAGGTAGTCCTAAGGGATCATCACCCATATCGCCATGTGGAGGAGCTGGAGGAAAAGGCAATGGATTACCTTGGCCTGGCAAGGGATATGGAAGTCCCCCTAATCGAACAGAACTGAGTGAGGCAGACTGGCTCTCACTTTGTGGAGTCTTTGTTGTTGGTGCGGTCACACCAAGAGGCATGGATACAGCTTCTCCCATTTCAGCTTTCACCACAGTCTGTCCCGTTTGCAGCTGAGGCGTCAAACCTCTGTTCTCTACTTTAACTTTAGAGGCATCAGCGGTTTGTGAAGAGCGTGTTAGTTGAGCAGCAGACTCTAGTGCAGTAGAAGGGACTTTTGTCAGAGCCTTCCGCTCTGGCTCCACCTTGGCTTTGTCTTCCACTTTAACATGTGCAGAACCAGACGACGCTGAAGGACCCTCACTTTCAGCTTCTACCAGCCGCAGCTGGTCTGAGAAGACATCTTTAGGGTCTCCTTGGTTCAGTTCAGGATCAGTGTAAGCCAGCAGGTCAAACTCATCACTGTTGAGTAAGTCATCAAGATGTGGATCATTGGTTTCGAGGTTGTCCAGGTTGCCCAAGTCATCATCTCCTTTGTCAGGGTCCAGGTCAAGAGCCAAATCATCCTCATCTTCTACTCCTCCATCTCCTGGAGCATCGCCTAGCCCATCAAGATCAGGTTCTGGCAGTTCTTCTGCATTTTCTACAGCTGCAGGCTGGGGCTCTGTGACTATACCTGGTTGTGAAAGTCGATGCTGCTCAGTACTGCGAGTGTTTTGGGCTGAAGTAGCATTTTGAGGTTGCATGTGGGACTGCTGAGGCAGTAAAACTGACAGTCCACCCTGTTGTAACCCCTCTGTCTGAATCCCACCAACTTGAGCTATAGGAAGTTGCTGAACATAAGGTGTTGACATCTCTTGCTCTGGGACAAAGAGACGTGGCCTGGGCTGGGGTCCACGGGGTATAAATTGGTGTCGCAGGGGTGGCCTTTGTGAATTATGTCTCAACTCAATGAACTGTGGTGGCGGACCTTGACTCATTGGCTGCATGGATTCACCTCCGTGCCCTGGCATCATGGCATGAGTATTACCCATGCCTTCCATACCTTGGATATTGACAGCAGGGTTAAGATTGTGCCTTATGCCCACAGCTTCCATGCCAGGCTGAGGGAACCTCCTTGGAGCCTGGCCCTGCCACTGAGGAGGGAATGGTGGACGGGTAAACATACCCTGCGGTCTGGAAGATCCTGGTAGCCTGAAGAAAGACAAAAATATTTTTTTCCCCCCCAAAAACAACGAAAGGGAGTTGGACTAATTTAAGACGCCAATTGTATCTTCAGGGCCAAAAGATTTATGCCTGTATTTGGTTTATTCAATCCAAGTACCTCATTATTTAAATGCTTACCTAACTGGATCAACAACGGCAGGGTTTCCTGTATGTGGTGGGCGAATGAGCTTATCATCTGTGGGCATCTTCCCCGACACAGAAGCCTGAGCACTTGAAGCGGCAGCAGCAATACGTTCCTAAAGGAAGTAAAAATTGTACCATTGTCCCTTGACTCTTTAGTTATTAATAAATCAAAAATAACTTTTTTCATAATGTCTGCATGAAAATCAGAAACTTAAAAAAACAACAACAAAAACCCTACATCTTCCAGATTATTATTATTATTATTATTATTATTATTATTATTAT